CCTGTTTTACTTGTTTTAAAAAGGAATATCATTTGATTCTTCACTGATTTACTGCTTTAAGTGATTTTACTACTTAATATAGAATTGTTTTGTGTTTTTACGTGTTTTCATACTTTCAGCCATTATTTATAATTGTTACTCACTGAGTCGGAGTACTCACATTACTCCCTGCACCATGTGTGCAGATTCAGGCATCGCAGAGTCCGCTCCTGAGTGTTGATTTCTCCCAGTCCAGGCAGTGATTTGGAGACTACGAGGTAGCTGTTGGCGTTCGCAGCCCCGTGCCTCCCTTATCCTATCATTTCCATGTTTTTTTTCTGAACTATTGTATCGGATTTTGTGTTTAGTAGACTTGTATCCGGACTTCTTAGTTGCTCATGACTTGTGACACCCCGGTTTGGGCTGTGTCGGGATGGTTCCTGCTGTTGTTAACATTAAAATTCCGCAATTTATGAGTGTTATATTATATGTTATTACTGTTTATGATGATTAACTGTTTAAAAGAGGTATTCCGTTTTGGTCTGGCTGGCCTTGTCTTCACGAGAGGCACCATCACGACCAGGTTCGGGGATTGGGTCGTGACATTGATCCATGAGTAACTTTGACAAAATACCTTAAAAATATGTAACATGGATGTTATTTTATTCGGTGTTTGGTTATGCGTATTAGTTAACCGACATAAGTTTTATACCAAAGTTTTTGTATTATTTATTCTATATTGGATGTGGAGTTATAATCAGAAGCGCATTCAGTTCATTAGTTACGGGTTCCCGTGAATCCAGTAGCTTTTGTCCCGAATATGTTTTTGTATTGAGAAATTCATTAAATTTATAAGAATATTTAGCTTGGAACCCAGTTCGTTCATCCGGTTAATATTGTATATTAACTCAATTTTTATAGGAACCCATAAACCTAAAATCCTAGATCCGCCTCTGGTTATAATCCTAATCTCAGGATAACTTCTTTTCATGTTTCCTTGTTCAAGTTGATTAAGGAGTTGCAGTTTTAGTGAGAAAAGGACCTAATTAGTCCCTTAATTATAGATGCATGTTTACAAAAATAGGTTTGGTTTTTGTCGACCCAAGAAATAACAAAAAACATACTGTAAAACATAACGTAGAAGCTCAAGGAAAGTGAACACATAGATCACAACAACAAAACACAACAACCCAATATAATCCCACTTATTGGGGTCTGAGGAGGGTAGTGTGTACGCAGACCTTACCCCTACCCTAGGGTAGAGAGACTGTTTCCAAATAGACCACCGGCATCCTTCCCTCCAAGAACTTCCCACCTTGCTCTTGGGGAGACTCGAACTCACAACCTCTCGGTTGGAAGTGGGGGTTGCTTACCATCAGAGCAACCCCTCTTGTCAACAAGTAAATAAAAATATCAACCAAGGGTGGGATATCGGATGAAATCCTTTAACTCTTTATTAAAAGTTTCGGGTTCAAATATTAAAAACAGAGAAATTTAGTAGGGAGCGCTTCTCCTTAGATGGGTTTTATACGAATGGCAAATAGGGTATAGGACGGGCAGGGTAGGGCGGGTGAAGCCTTGCCATGACATAGATTATTTTTTTTCCAATTGATTTAATATGTCTTGCCCTGCCCCGTATAATATTTTTATATATTTAATTATTGTGCGCGAAAATCTTAGGAGAGGTACTAGACATCTTTCTAAGACTAAATTGTATTTTTTCATACCATCTTGAGTTATACATAATACTATTCCTACCGATACTATGATTTAAATTATATTTTTCCAAAAACTACTAATCCTAACTTGCACAGGATTTGAATCTCTCCAATTCCCAGCTGACTTTGGTAAAATAAAAAAATAAAAAAAAAATCATCTATAAAACTTTCTCTATAAGATCCTCAAAAACCTTAGTTTCTTCTTCATACATATTCTCTCTTTGTTCACTTGTTTTTTTTTCTTTTCCTTTCACATGAACTGAAAATCTCTGCAGATATATTTCATTACGAGGAAAAAGAAAAAAAAAAAAGATGGGATATCGAGCTGAAAGTATAAAAGAAATAAAAATAAGGGTGTTCAAGTGGACGCAAAATATGATTAAAAATCATATTTGTGACCATCGTCGTGAATTATGTTCATCATCAAAATTTGGATTATTGGTTTTAAGAGTGAAAAACCAAACCAAAATTATAAGACCAAGAAATTACAGCTTCAAAAATCGCGGTGGACAAACAAAAAAAATAACTTTCAAATAAAATGTTCAATCCTTCAACTTAGTTGAATCTTCAGAAGAGTTAATCAAAAGCATTGAACAAGCTTTAGGGTTATCAAATTTATTCTTTAAAAAAACAATTCCTCATTTAGCCAAAATTATTTCAGATTATTTGAGAAGTACCTTTGAGTATTTTGGCGAAAATTTTAGTTTGTTACAAAATATGCGCGAATCGTCCAAGATTATTGTGGTTATAGATATGAATATGCAGAGTGGGAATTTTGAAATTGGCGCGCAATCATCCGAGGATGTTTGTAGTTTCCAATTAACTGATTTGTATGAAACCTTGTTGAATGATGACGGTAGGGCTGTTCATTCGGATCGGATATCCGAAATCCGTACCGATCTATTCAATTTTGAATTTCGGATTTCGGATTGGATCGGATTTCGGACTATGTTTATTAAAATTTTGGATTTCGGATCGGATTTCGGATTGGTGTATTTTAATCCAATCCAATCCGAAATCCGAAATTATTAGGACATGTATAAATACTACACTTTAATTTACATCAACCTCCAAGTTATTACCTTTACATTTGCTAGATTTAGCTATATTAGCATCATAGTACTCTCATAATTGCATAAACATGAATTTTTCTTAATGTATTGCCTCTTTTACAAAGAAAATATACATATTAGTTTAACTTTGAGGCATAATAATACGATCCGATATCCGATCCGATCCAAACTTTAAAATCCGATCCGATCCGATATAATTCGGATCGGATTCGGAATGCATTTTCTAGAATCCGAAATCCGAAATTCAAATCCGAAATTCAAATCCGAAATATGCTAAATCTGACCGATCCGATCCGTGCACAGCCCTAGATGACGGTCATGAGAGTAAGGAAAAAGTAGACGCAGTTTATTTACAAATAGTTGATGGAGTTCAAGTATCTGGCAGGGTTAAACGGAGAAGAGTTGATACTGAAGAAGAGATGGTACGTATACCAAAATCCATTGAACTTGAAGTAGAGTATACTGTTGCTGATTCTGATATTCAAGATATTTTGGATACTTTGTTGAATTTCTTGATAGCGAAAATGGAATTTCTTGATGAAACTAGGGTTTTAGATGGGGAGATTCAAGAATTTAGGAATGTGAAAGGTGGATTGAAGATTGTAATGTTGGACTAGGAGAATGTGAGTTTTGAGTTGGGAGATATATGTCCTGTTTGTTTTGAGATATTTGTAGAGGATTCAATTGTGATCATCACACCTTGTTGAATACAGAATTTAGAGTCAGTGGATTCAAGATGAGTGTATTAATCGTATTATACGTATATATTTTAGAATTTTTTTGTATATGAGCGGAGATTCATCGAATGCAATAAATTACAAAATCAGTCCTGGATCCGCCTCTGTGCATTAATAGTTCTTGACATTCAGATATTGCTAACTTTTTTCGTCCCTTTTCTTTTTTATTAGAATTTAGGGATGGCGTTGGGCCGGCGGGGTGGGTGTTTGGCGGGGCCGGACTTAACCATAAAAATTTCAACCTGCCCCCATCCCACCTCGCATAGTGTTTTTTCTATGATTTCAACCCACCCTATACCGCCTCGAATAAATTCACCCCACATAAGTATTTTTTTTTCCTTTTTCCTTTTACTTTGTTATTTACATATTTGTAAAATCAAAAAATCAGCATAGGTTCCAAAAGAAAATTTAATACGTTATGACTTTTTTCGAATGCAAATTTGTTCTATAATGATAGTGTAAATAAATTAGTATGCGCAATTTAAATGCCTGATAATCTTAGGGGTAAATGCTTTGTATATAATTCTGAGGATAGCTTTTATCGAAATGGTTAATGATGGTAAGATTTTAAGAATTTAGTTGGTAGCTGTAGGAACAATCAACATTAATTTTATGCAATTCAAATGGTAAATTGTGATATTCAACAATAACAAGTTTTACGAAACTAAATAGTATTTAGTATTGTTTGTTATAAAATAATAGAAGTTATTTATCAAATGCGTTAGTATTTTAAGTTTACAACTATAGTGATTACTCACACGAGAGTATTTCAATGAGCAACTATTTGAAGTTGAGTTTAAGTTTGCACCGCAGCAACAACTAATAACAAACTTTTAGTTGATTTCGAATTCCTAAATATTAGGAGAGTATTTAAATTACAGTTTTATCTACTATGAATTTTATTTTTAAAGGTTACAAAATGCGAACAATATTAATTTTATAAGCAAACTTTTAATTAATTTCAAATTCCTAAATATTAGGAGAGTATTAAGTTACCAATTTTATCCAATACGAACTTAATTTTTAAAGAATACAAAAGGTGAACAATATTTTGATAAGGGTCTTCATACTTTTAACATACAAATATATATATATTTTAAAAGTGTTTGAAACTCTATAATAGAGATTATTTCAAAGACATGAATCAAAAAGTGATAAGGGAATGGTATTCTTATAATATTATAGGAATGCAAGGCTAATTTGGGTCTACTATGTAATTTATGATCTCGCGTGAATCAAGTAATTTTTGTTCGATTCTGTATATATAGAGAAATTCACAAAATAATTACAAATAATTAATTATAAATATAATTATTATTGTTATTAATTTGAGATAGCTATAAGAACTGATAAGTTTTAAGTTTTAACTCTAGAAATAAAATAAAAATCATAATTAAAAGAAGAAGAAAAAAACCCACAGCAACAAGACACAAGTGAAAAGGGATTAAAAAAAAAGAAAAGGGACTGCTGCAACTAGTCCCATTGTCTTTTTCTAACAGCCACCACTAGGTAAAACTCTCAAATCAAAAATCCCAAAATCCTCCACTCCACTGCTTCACTAATTCACTTTCCATTATCCTCTAAATAGCTTTCATTCCCTTTCTCATTTTCTGCTCCATATTCAAGGTAAGCCTTTTAAAAACTCAATCTTGATAACACCCACCAACCCCTTTTAGCTAAATTTTTACTTAGTTTTCATATAAATTTGGAATAGCCCTTTAAAAATCTAATCTTGATAATCCCCCACCAACCCCTTTTAGCTAAATTGTGACTATTTTCTAATAAAGTTTGAATCTTAATGAATTAATGCTGAAGTTATTAGCTTTTATTGAGGCCACTTTGATTCATGGCCTCTTTGAAATTGTCTTTTTATGTGGATAAGTCATGGGAATCCAAGAAACTTAAATTTAATGTGAAAGCTTTGAACTTTACTGATTCTAAGTGTTTGGTTCCTTCATTTTTGGGCTATGGATATGTTGGTGGTGCATTTGTTGTTAACCCCTTTTGTAATTTGAAGCACATTAGAGTTTCAAGATTAGAAACTGAGGAATTAGAGACTTCTGAGTTGAGTTTATTAGATGGTGAAAGGGTTGATAATTTTGAAGGTGATTTAGGAAATGAGAGTTTGGTTTCTGAAAGATTAAATCTTGGTGGGGTTTCTCAGAAAGGGAAGTTTAATGTTTGGAAGAGATTTAGGAGGGTCAAGAGGGTAGTGAACAACTCGAAATATAGGTCTAGTTTCAGAGAGAAAGATAGGAATCATGGAATGCAAGAAAAAACCAAGATTGTGTTTGATGAAATTAGCGAGGAGAATGTGATAGGTAGCCTAAATGGGGTTGATTTTGATGTTGGGAATATCGGGTCTGACTCGAGTTTGGAACACTGCAATGCGATATTGAAACAACTCGAAAGTGGTGACGATGGGAAAGCGTTGAGTTTTTTCCGATGGATGCAGAAAAATGGGAAATTAAAGCAAAATGTTACTGCCTATAATTTGATACTCCGTGTCTTGGGGAGAAGAGGGGACTGGGATGGTGCAGAGGCGATGATTAAGGAAATGAGTCTGGAGTCGGGTTGTGAGCTTACGTATCAGGTTTTCAATACCCTTATTTATGCTTGCCATAAGAAAGGGCTTGTGGAGTTGGGTGCTAAGTGGTTCCACATGATGTTGGAGAACAGAATTCAGCCAAATATTGCGACTTTCGGAATGCTAATGGCTCTCTATCAGAAAGGTTGGAATGTTGAGGAAGCAGAATTTACATTTTCAAAGATGAGGAGTCTCAAAATTATGTGCCAATCTGCATATTCAGCTATGTTGACTATATATACGCGAATGAGATTGTATGATAAAGCAGAAAAAATCATTGGCTTTTTGCGGGAAGATGAAGTAATTCTGAATCAGGAAAATTGGTTGGTTCTGCTCAATGCTTATTGTCAACAAGGCAAGTTAGCTGAGGCTGAGCAGGTCTTAGCTTCAATGAAGCAATCTGGTTTTTCGCCAAATATAGTTGCGTACAACACATTGATCACTGGATACGGGAAGATTTCCAACATGCGTGCTGCACAACGCTTGTTTAGTGACCTTGAAAGAGTTGGAATGGAGCCTGATGAAACAACTTATAGGTCTATGATTGAAGGGTGGGGCCGTGCAGACAATTATGAGGAGGCAAGGAGATACTATGTGGAACTGAAAAGACTTGGACACAAACCAAACTCGTCTAATTTGTACACGATGCTGAATTTACAAGTCAAGCATGGAGATGAAGAGGATGTTGTTAGTACTGTTGAGGAAATGATGCACTCTGGCAGCGAAAAGTCAACCGTCCTTGGCATTCTTTTGCAAGCATACGAGAAGCTTGAATGCGTTCACAAAGTTCCTTCAATTTTGAGAGGTTCTTTATATGATCATGTTTTGAGAAACCAGATATCTTGTTCGAGTCTGGTAATGGCTTATGTGGAAAACAGCATGATAGATGATGCATTGAAAGTATTACGGGAAAAGCGGTGGGAGGATGCTTTATTTGAGGACAACTTGTACCATTTATTAATTTGCTCGTGCAAAGATTTGGGCTATCCAGAGAATGCTGTGAAAGTGTTCGCTTGTATGCCGAAATCTTATAAGCCGAACTTACACATAATATGCACTATGATAGACATTTACAGTACAATCAATGATTTTGCTGAAGCTGAAAAGCTTTATCTAATGTTGAAGAATTCAGATGTTAAACTGGACATGATAACTTTAAGTGTTGTGGTAAGAATGTATGTGAAATCTGGAGCTTTAGAAGAAGCCTGCTCTGTGTTGGATGCAATGGAGAAACAAAAGAATATTGTTCCAGACACATATTTGCTCCGTGATATGCTCCGGATCTACCAGCGATGTGACAAGCAGGACAAATTGGCGGATCTTTACTACAAACTTGTGAAAAGAGGAGTCATATGGGATCAGGAAATGTACAGCTGTGTCATAAACTGTTGCGCCCGTGCATTGCCAGTTGATGAGCTTTCGAGGCTGTTTGACGAGATGCTTAAACATGGATTTTTACCCAATACAGTCACCTTCAATGTTATGCTTGACGTTTATGGAAAGTCCAGGCTCTTCAAAAGGGCAAGGGAAGTCTTCTCAATGGCTAAAAAGCGTGGGTTGGCTGATGTTATCTCTTACAACACTCTCATAGCTGCATATGGGAGAAGCAAAGACTTCAAGAATATGTCGTCAACAGTCAAGAAAATGCATTTCAATGGGTTTTCGGTTTCTCTTGAAGCTTACAATTGTATGTTGGATGCCTATGGGAAAGAAGGACAAATGGAGAAATTCCGTAGTATCTTGCAAAGATTGAAGGAATCTGGTCATTCTTCTGATCATTACACCTACAATATTATGATAAACATTTATGGTGAGCTCGGGTGGATTGAAGAAGTTGCAAATGTACTGACTGAATTGAAAGAATCAGGAATTGGACCTGATTTGTGCAGCTATAACACACTAATAAAGGCATACGGAATTGCTGGTATGGTTGAAAGTGCAGCAGATTTGGTTAAGGAAATGCGCAAAAATGGAATTGAACCTGATCGAGTAACCTACGCTAACCTAATCAATGCATTACGGAAAAATGATATGTTTCTGGAGGCTGTTAAGTGGTCTTTATGGATGAAGCAGATTGGATTGTAAGATCTAATCTGAAAATGCTGCTGTTATTCATTGTGGCTCACCTCATCTCCGGTTTAAAGGTAATACATGTTATATATACACATATGTTTGTATTGATCTTCTTTGAATTGTACCGTATAATACATGTTATATACACACAAAAGGAAGACTTTTGATAGAAATTTATGTGGCTAGAAATCATCTCATTAAGGGTAAAAGGGAAAATTTAAATTTGATTTATTAGTAAATATAGCAATGTGTCATTCTTTTGGGACCGACTAAAAACGGAAGAAGGGCAAAGGGCAGCCCGGTGCACTAAGCTCCCGCTATGCGCGAGGTCCGGGGAAGGGACGGACCATAGAGGGTATATTGTACGCAGCCCTACCCTGCATTTCTACAAGAGGCTGTTTCCATGGCTCGAACCCGTGACCTCCTGGTCACATGACAACATCTTTACCAGTTACGCCAACGCTCTCCTTTACAAACGGAAGAGTGTCACATAAAATTGGGACAGAGGGAGTAATATATTTGGCATATTTTGTTGCTGTATTACCTAGATCAAGACCATAGAAACTTTTACGAGGTCATGCATATATTAGTATCTAAACTGATTCATAAAGGATTTAAGCATTTTCACCTGCTGACTCGCTTCTAACTCATGTAACTGCATGCCTGTCAATGCGAATTTCTCAACTTATTAACAGTGTGATTCATTTTGGCCTTTTCAGGTCAGGCCTTGCATTCTTCTTGTATAGTTGACACCATAGTTTCCGGCAAATGTTTTACTGAGTAGGCTTGAGGACCGATGATGCTGGCCTCGCATGTTACTGCAGGTCCGCGGAAGACCACAGATATGCAGTTGTCTGCTTGCGCACAATTTGTGTAACGTAATTTAAAGACAACTGTGTATTGATTGTCCCATAATACACCGGTTAGTGTATAGTTGTAACTGTTTCAAGATGGAAAATAGCTTACTGTGATTGTTTAGTTGATCATCTATATCTCCAGGAAGTCATATCTTTGCTGTAATAAGTCAAAATGGTAAAGGCTCTAAACCTTTTAGAGTGTATTAGCTGCTATATAACTGAGCCATTTTTGGTATAGTTTCAATAAAATTCTCTGCCATTTTGTTATCTCCTTTTGAAATTCATTGCTTTTTATCAAAATGAGAAAGTCTTCATTATGAACTTTAGAGGTGAAGCCAAAATCTAAGGGGGGAGTACACAAATAGCCATTTTTAGGACTGCTCTTTAAGGTTTAGCTCGTATTTATTTTGTCCTGAAAAAATCTTTAACTTCAGGATTTTGTGTCCTAAAAAATTGAACTGAAAAATTGGAATTCAGGAAATACTGGCTAATTTCTAAAGAGCAGCCCTCTAGAATGGTACCTGGTGTCATTTCTACAAATTCTAAGGGGTCGTTTGGTTGGGAAACAAGTTATCCTATGATTAATTATCCCGGGATTAGTTATCTCATCCTCCCATGGGGATAAAACATTACAACCCCGGGATAACGAAGATTAGTTATACCATGATTTTTATCCCAATTAAACGTGAAATAAACTCATATCAAATTTAATCCCGGAATTAATTATCCCTTATCTCTCGTACCAAACAAGCCCTAAGGGTGTAGGTGTGGCAGCCAAGACATTTATCGTTTTGATACCTTTATATATCTTGTGTGACCTATGATTGTGAGAATGAGTTTCCCAAATGTGAAATTCAAAAAACATTTAAGACAATGAGTTGAGAAACCTAAAAAATTATTATAAATCTCGATTGATGCTCGATATGGGACATTATGCAACTCAACAACCATATCAAGTGGCTTCCTTTTTCGTAATTAATGGTGTGACTTAGTGATCAATGAAGTAGGTGAAACGAGAAAAAATCAAGGTTAAAATAACGCTTGGTAATTTTTTCTTGTTTGCCTAATTCTTGGTGGGCAGTACCTATGCTGGTGAGATAGTCAAGACCCAGTTAAGCTGGTTAAGACCTCATCTTTATAAAATAAAATAAAAAGTGACTTTCCTTTTTCATTTTTCCTTTAGTGGAAATATATAATGTTTGGTTGGTGTTGGTGTTATCTTCAATTTCTTCTTCTGGTTGATGCACCACAAAAACTATAAATGGGATTCTTTTTATCCTAAATTGGAGAGCCATCTTGAGAGATTTTTTTCGCTATAATTATCTGGTATTCGGAACTCACTGACCCGACTAATTCAAATTCACATCGCGTACAGTCAATTCAAGGAGGAAGCAATCTCTATTATGGATTTCTCCATTCTCAAGGTTCGAACCTGAAACTTCTTGTCAAGAGTGAATATGTGAAGGAATTAGCTAATTGCTTGACTGTGCACTAACGACCTAACCTGTCTTAGCTATATTAGTTAGTGAAGTGTAATTAGTTATTAGTTAATTATGTTGGTAATGGAGGTTAGTTAGGCAGCTGGCACTAGCTATCATTGTATATATATAGGTGTAGTTAGCTCATTTGTACTATTGTTCCATTGATAATGAATAGAAAATTTTCCCAAAACTTTGCATGTCTTCTTCTTCTCTCATCTTTGTTTGCTCTGCTTCAATGTCGATCAGAATCTTGGTGAGTTTCTTCATGGTATCAGAGCGAGGCTTCGTCAGTAAGATCTAAGGATTGTTCTTCGCGGATTGAAGACGATCGAGAGATTCATTGACAATTCTGTAAGAAAACGAATTCTGATCTGAGTTGTAGCAAGCCCTAGATTCAATTGATAAATTATGTTTTTGATTAGCGATTCTTCTCTTCATCTACAAGTTGACTGAGTTTGTTACTGTATAACCATGGCAATTGAGGATGGATCTGATTCAGGAACCTCTGTTCCAGCTCCGGTGGTGATTGATCACAATCATCCCACGTATTTTCATCCCTCTAATGCCCCTGGGTCCTTATCAGTTGGTATTCAGCTCATAGGAATGGAAAATTACACTTTGTGGGATCGAGCAATGAGAGTTGCACTCCTAGGAAGAAATAAGCTAGGTTTCAATGATGGCACAATCACTAGGGATACCTTTGGACCAGTTTTAGGACATTAGTGGGATAGGTGTAATGCAATAGTAGTCTCATGGCTCACTGGAAACGTGAGCAAAGAATTGCTAAGTGGAATTCTATTTCGTTCTAATGCACTCTTGGTTTGGAAGGAATTACAGGAGAGGTTCAATAAAGTGAATAGATTACGTTTGTATTCTCTTCACAAAGAGATCTTTACTTTGACACAAGGAACATCATCTGTGTCAGTGTATTATTCGAGGTTGAAGGATTTATGGGATGAATATGATTCAATAATGCCACCTCCTTCATGTGACTGTGAGAAATCAATGGATTTTGCATTGCATTTACAATATCAACGCCTATTATAGTTTTTAATGGGACTGAATGAAGGTTATAGTCAGACAAGGAGTCAAATTTTAATGAAATCTAAAGTGATTAATGTGAATCAATCGTATGCCTTGATTGTTTAGGATGACAACCAAAAATTTGTGGCAGGAAGTAACTATGTCACAACTGAAACAATGGAATCAGCTGCACTATTCACAGTAAGAAATAATGTGCCTAAGAAGAAGAGAAGTTGGGGTATATAATGTGACTACTGTCATGGAAAGGGTCACACATGAGATGGATGTTTCAAGTTGATGCATTGTGGCTACTGCAATAAGAAGGGTCATCTTAAGGAGAACTGCTACAAGCTAATAGGATATCCTGCAGGTTTTAAGTCCAAGGCCAGAGCTAATGTGGTGGATGCACATTCTATGCAGTCTGAGACTAGTGCAACCAATCAAGGAAACATCAATTCTACTAACACTGCTGCTCCAATGATCACACAGGAACAATACAACGTGCTGCTCAACATGCTTAGCAAGACTTCCACATCTGAAACAAGTGCAAACTTGGCAGGTAAGTGTTTTCTTGTTAAAGATAATGCAGTATATTGGATAGTGGACACAGGAGCTACGAATCATATGACAGGAAATGAACGTTTGATGTCGGATGATGGTAAAGTAAGAAGTGTTGGAAATGTGCAAATGCCCACAGGAGAGTCTGCTAAAGTAACCAAGATAGGAAATAGTCCTTTGGGGGGAGGTGATGCCCTTAAGGATGTGCTTTGTGTACCAAGTTTTAAGTTCAATCTATTGTCAGTGTCTAAATTGACCAAGGAACTGAATTGATGTGCAATGTTTTTTCCTGAACACTTCATATTTCAGGATCTTTGTACTGGAAAAGTGAAGGCGACTAGTAGTAGGGAAGATGATTTGTACATACTGAGAACACACCATAAGGAATCTAGAATAAGTGGAGCAAAGGCTATGACAGTGGAACAGATGAAAGAACCTGAGATTTGGCACAGGAGATTAGACCATGTGACCATGACAGTTATTAGAAAGATTTCTAGTTTTAGAAATAAAGATGCTTTTCAATTACAGCATTGTGATATGTGTCCATTCTCTAGAAAAACAAGATTACCATTCTCTATTAGTACTAGTAGAGCAGATGAACCTTTTGATTTGATGTACATGGATATATTGGGCCCTTATAAGGTTCCAGCCTATAATGGAATGAATTACTTTTTGACATTGGTAGATGATCACACTAGGTGGACATGGATTTTCTTAATGAGAGTAAAATCAGATGTATCTAAGTTACTCAAAACATTTATTGCAATGATCCTTAACCAATTTGGAAAGATGATTAAAGTCTTCAGGTCAGACAATGGATCTGAGTTTTTTTAACATGTCTTGCAAGGAATTGTTTACATGCCATGGGATTTTGCATCAGAGTTCTTGTCCTTACACTCCTCAGCAGAATGGAGTGGTGGAAAGGAAACATAGACATATCCTAGAAACAGCAAGAGCAATCAGGTTCCAGTCTAATTTGTCAATTCGATTCTGGGGAACATGTGTTGAAGCAACAACATATATAATAAACATGGTACCATCTACTATTTTGAAAGGTAGATCGCCTTTTGAAGCATTGTACAACAGGCCACCTTCTTTGGCTCACATGAGGGTGATAGGCTGCCTTTATTATGCAACCGTTTTGCCTAAACAGGACAAGTTTGGTCCAAGAGCAGTGAAATCAGTGTTACTAAGATATGGAGTTCATCAGAATACAAACTATTTGATCTGTCTAACAAAGTGTGTTTTATTAGTAAAGATGTTATATTTCATGAGAGCATATTTCCTTTTCAGGATACTCATGAAAAGCAAAATTTTCAAAGTCCTGACATTACAAACTTGAAAAGGTTTTGTGTGGTGGATGAGTTAGATATTGCAAGTAGAATTATTCTGCATGATCAAAATGCTGCAGACTCTACTTCACAGCAAATTTCAGGTGCATCAACATATATTGATCAAGAGAACCATGATTCTCATGGATCCCATGAAGTTGTGACAGACTTAATTGAACACACTGGAGCACTAGAAGAACATCAAATAACAACATTGACTGAAAGAAGATCAGGGAGAACAACTAAGCCACCTATTTGGCTTAAAGACTATGTGAGGACTGATAAACAGTCAGGAGCACATGCTTGTTTATACCCAATCTCAGATGTCATTAGTTATGACTCTCTGTCCTCCAAGTATCAAAGTTTCATCACCAAATTTTCTGCAAAAGTTGAGCCTAAGAACTATGCAGAAGCAATCAAGGATGACAGATAGATAGAAGCAATGCAGACAGAGATCAAGGCATTGCAAGACAACAATACATGGACATTGATGTCTTTGCCACCAGGAAAGAGGGCTATTGGTTGTCGATGGGTATACAAGATTAAATACAAAGCTATAGGTGAAGTGGAAAGGTTTAAGGCAAGGTTAGTTGCCAAAGGGTATAGCTAAAAAGAGGGACTAGATTATCAAGAAACATTCTCACATGTTGTCAAGATGGTAAGAGTGAGGACTGTTGTCTCATTAGCAGCAATGAATATTTGAGAGATTCATCAAATGGATATCTACAATGCTTTTGCAAGGTGATTTAACTGAAGAAGTTTATATGGAGCTGCCTCAAGGATTTGTTTGTGAAGGACAACATCAAGTTTGTCGATTGCTCAAATCACTGTATGGGCTCAAGAAAGCTTCTCAACAGTGGAACATCAAGTTAATATCTGCATTGATAGCTTCTAGGTTCTGTTAGAGTCACTTAGACTATTCCTTATTCACCAGAAAAGTTCAAGGGAAAATAGTGGTGGTCTTAGTTTATGTTGATGACCTACTAATCACAAGAGATGATGTCATCTTAATACATGAGACTAAGGAGTACTTACAACAAGTCTTTAAAATCAAGGACTTGGGGGAGCTGAAGTTTTTCCTAGGGATTGAATTTGCTAGAAGCAAAGAGAGAATTCTGATGCATCAAAGAAAATATGTATTAGAACTCATATCAGACATGGGACTCTCAGGTTCAAAGCCAGTCAGGGCACCTTTGGAGGTGAACAAAAAGCTTACAACATTGGAGTTTGACACTCAGTTTGGAATTGAAGATGATAAAGTTCTTGATGATCCTAGTGCTTATCAAAGGTTGGTTGGGAGACTTCTTTATCTCACCATGACTAGACCAGATATTGCATTTGTAGTGCAGTGCTTGAGTCAGTTCATGCATTGTCCTAAAATATCACATATGGATGCTGCCATCAAGGTGATCAAGTATATCAAGTAGTCTCCAGGCTTGGGGATATTAATGTTTGCAGATGCTTCATCTCAGCTCACAGCCTATTGTGATGCAGATTGAGCATCTTGTCCAAACACTAGGAGATCCATTATCGGGTATTTGATTAAGTTTGGGAGCTCCTTAATCTCATGGAAGTCGAAGAAACAAACTACTATATCCAAAAGCTCAGCTGAAGCCGAGTATCGAAGCCTGGCATCAACAGTTGCAGAAATAGTGTGTGTGACTGGTTTGATTGAGGAATTAGGGGTGCATATTCAGCAACCTGTTTCTTTGCTATGTGACAGTAAGTCAGTAATTCAAATTGTTGCTAATCCAGTATTTCACGAGCGCACAAAGCATATTGATATCGACTGTCGTTTCATTCGCGAGAAGGTGCAGCTTGGCCTCGTTCATCTATTACATCTCCCCTCTTCAGAGCAACAAGCAGATATTCTTACTAAGGGCTTGGGTGTCACTCAACATCATTATTTGTTGTCCAAGCTAGGCATGAAGAACATCTTCATAGCTCCTAGCTTGAGGGGGTATGAAGGAATTAGCTAACTGCCTGACTGTGCACTAACGACCTAACCTGCCTTAGCTATATTAGTTAGTGAAGTGTAATTAGTTATTAGTTAATTATGTTGGTTGTGGAGGTAGTGGAGGTTAGTTAGACAGTTGACACCAGTTAGCATTGTGTATATATAGGTGTAGTTAGCTCATTTGTACTACTGTTCCATTGATAATGAATAGAAAATTTTCCCAAAACTTTGCATGTCTTCTTCTTCTCTCATCTGTGTTTGCTCTGCTTCAATATCGATCAGAATCTTTGTGAGTTTCTTCAGAATGATCCGTCTATCCCGCTACATCTTTTGGTGATTATTATTTGTTGTATAGAAACTGAAACCTCCTGTTATAGTTTTCCTTATACTAATTAGATTTTCTTTTTCGTTAGCTTTCACATGCTCTTGGTTTTATGTTGTCGGAGCAAGATGCCATCAAACATTCAACATGTAGTCTTACGACCGGGCACTCATGCTCCGATATTGTCATTGTATACTCCTGTGGGTCGCCTCCTGTGGAAGGAAGGGAGTATCGTGCGAGATCTATATATACAAACATATGTCATGCATTTATTGGATTGATGTAAACATCAGGTGCGAGTAGATTTTTGCGCTTATATAAACCTAGCACTTGTACGTAATGCAAGTTTAGAGTTCAAAATCGCCTACGCCAAAAGTCAATATCATGATATTATACCTCATACTTAATGGTATAATATGATTAAAGTTTAGAACCATCATATTTATTCGTAATCATTTCTTGAAGTTTAATATTAAGCTATATATATTTGAGTTTTTTTCTCAATACCTGTTAGTTTTATACGATTGCCAGAAATATTTTTTAAACTTCTTTTCTCTTTAGATACAACTAGTATACATACCCGCGCGATGCGCAGATTATAAAAAAATATTAGTATGATAATATTGCTCTTAATTATTTGCTCATTTGAATTTTATTGAGGATTTCTTAATTTTAGCAGAGCAAAATTTTTCCCTAGCCCTTATAGTTGATTATCTTTTTTTCGCGACAATCTCACAAAGCCAAGATTTGGAACAATAAAAAACAATCACAACAGTGTCTCTCTCTCTCTCTCTAAAAAAAAAAGCCATCTACTTTAAATTTCTAAAATAATCCATAAAATCAAGACTCTATTTTAAATTGCTTTAGATTTGGAAATTTATTTATTTGTGTTGTAGGTTGATTGGCAAGGTCATTCATAATCATGTAAAGTTTATCATGTGATCACTCATATGCAATAAATTGTAATTTTTCGCTTTATTCAAACAAATAGCAATCTTTTTTCACCCATCTTTTTATTATTTCTCTTACTTGAGCTAAACTAGATTCTCTTACTCAAGACATTTGACTATATATAACATAATATTTTTCAAGAAAAGAATGCGATTTAAAATAAAAAGCAAGAGTAAGCTTGGAATCACGTAAGTTTAATAAACGCTAAATGACATACATCATAGAGTGCAATGAAAGAAAAGCAACACCAAACCAGAACAGATAACACAATTATGAATCAGTTCTAGAACCTTATACATAGGAAATCAAATACTACTGGCATTAAAAATAAGAGATATTTTATGGATAATTGTCCTACCTCATGTGCTTTTACTTCTTCAACTCATCTCCAAAAATAACTCTAAGGCCTTAATTGCGAGAGCATTCCTAGTATACCCATCAATTGTAGGTGCATAGGCTATCATCAAGACTTTATGATTTATCTTCATCTTTCTCTGTTTAATAAACAAAAAAATTGAGGTTATTTTAATCAACGGGTAGATCAATATAACATGTTCTAAAGCATAGGTCCAAAAAATTAAATTTATACATATACAATTATAAGCTATTCTTCTTGAGCCATTCATTACCATTTTTAGATGAAAATGAAGAGAACTTCTCAATTGTGTCGCAACTTCTACAAAATCGGCAAAGAAAATATGGGGAGGCTTATGGCTTATGAACCACAGTTCTACCAAACTAAAAGAAACCACAAAAAGGTTGAATGTCTAATTTGAGAGTATTGAACATATCAATTGCTTAAAGATTGGGCCTTCAGAGCAACTTCTTCCTAAACAAATATACAAAAAAAAAATTCTATTATTTCCTGAACATCAAGTCCACCTCATTACCTGCAGAAAACTGAAATTGCAAATTATAAGCAGAAAGATAAAGTTTTACAACAAATTAAAATAGTAAATTCGCAGCAGAAAGGAGAAAAAAAATACAATCTTGCAACCAACATCACTTATGTGGGTAACCAAGATGAAATTAAGAATCAAAAATCCTAAAATATCCCCTAATTTTTATTTATTTCCACGAAATCCATCACTTAGACTGGAAGAACGTCTTTTTTTTTCTTGTAATTTTCAGTATAAGAAAGAATAACAGAGATATCCAAAGCTATTTCTCCTGAAATGGTGATGTTTTATATCACCCTAGACATATAGATGCATTTACTACTTCCAAAGCTAAAATCAGGCCGCACTTGTTTATTTTCTTCTACTTTTTTAGATAAGTACCTGGGTTCACTTGTTATAGGAAATTCTCATATTTTATATGATTATTATTAATTCATTTACAACTACTATACAGTGAAAATATAATCAACAGTAATATTTACTCAAAAGTTAAAGCAATTATAGAAATCAGAAAAATATATTGTAAATACCTGATAATTCCATCATGTCTATATTCATCTCAAACCAAATTACGGAAAACTTCTTTATACACCATATTTCTAGCTTCATTCGTTATTTGGCCATCATCATCATAAACTAAAATCTTCAATTCTTTTCTACTCGCCACGCTTGAAAGAGCAATATACAGTTGTCCATGAGTAAATACTGACTTCTTCAAAAATAATCCCATATGAGACAATGATTGACCTTGACTTTTATTAATTGTCATGGCAAAAGATACAACAATTGAAAATTGTCTTCACTGGAACTTAAAAGGTATTCTTGCATCTGATGGCGTCAACGTCATTCTCGGGATAAACATTTTTTGTCCAGCCATATTACCCATTAAAACCTTAACTTCAATAACCCGATTTCCAAGTCTTGTGATGATCAACCTCGTGCCATTACACAATCTTGATGACTGGTCTATACTTCTCAGCAACATCACAGGAACACCAACCTTCAAAGTAATAAAGTGATTTGGAATTCCAGAACATTTAATACTGTTTAGAAATTCGGGTGTATGTACGTGCTCCAAATCTGAAAAAGAATGATCAGACATACAAACTGTATCAGAACTCAAATATGTCTTCTCAGGACTATGATTGAGTGATACCATATATTTATTGATCGACTCCACCATATCAAGAATCGGAGCAAGAATTGCCCTTTGCTGGAGGTAATCAATGTCACTGAAATGGTTAAAGAAATCTGGATATGTACTTTCAATAATTTTCGATATTGGATCATCACAATTATTTATGAGAAGATCATCGGGGATTTGGACTTTCTCAATGCCATCAATGGAACTCCCAATCCTTCCATCACCGATTGCTAAAATCCATTCAGAAATTTTTTTTAACTCATCCAAATGTGCATCTAACTGATCTCTTTGTAACCTCATATTCTTTGTTAGATTTAAGACTTCACAGTGGGGCCACAAATATGAAGAATTAAAAGTAGCTTTAACAATATCTTGCCTAGATCCTTTTGCAATGACAGACAAAATTTGTCTGAAGTAGCCACCAAGAACAACTGTTTTACCTCCAAAAGGTTTATCAACACTGGATACGTTTTTAAATCTAAGAATATCTCTAAGAGTTTGATCAAGAGCTTTAAAACAATATTTATGCATCATCGGTGCCTCATCCCAAATAATCAACTTTGTCTTTATAATCAAATTTGCTAGAGGACTACCTTGCTTTATATTGCATGTTGAATCTTCAGTTGGATTGAGAGGGATTGCAAATCACGAATGAGTTGTTCTACCACCTGGTAACAAAAGAGATGCAATTCCACTTGATACAATAGTTAACACGATGTCTCCTCTAGATCGTATGCCAGAAGACTGAGTCTTCCAAATAAAAGTCTTTCCAGTTCCTCCATAACCATACAAAAAGAAGAATTGACCTTTGGCGTCATTCTCTGCCCTCATAATTTTGTCATAAACTGACTTTTGTTCAACTGTCGAATTCATTAATAATTGTTGATGTTCCTCTAACAGAGAATGACGATTATAACGCAATTCATCATAGATTAACCTATTGCTATGATCAACTTCTTCCTCATTGTAAAGAGGTATTGTCATTGTTGGAAAATCATGAAAACTTCTTCCACAACTTTTCAAAACTTTTTCCAACTTTTGTAAACAATGATTTTTCAATTCATCATTTGTTAGCTCTGCCTCTGAAAGAACAAAAAAAATTATAGAATTTAAATAACAATAATATAAAAAATATATTACATGATTACACAAATAAGGTATATTTAATTTAACTTTTTAGTTAGGTTAGTTGCTTGTAATAATGATTTACACAACAAAGAACTTATGAATGCTATGTCGTAAAACTCCATATTATCTTAAACATAAAGGTCATAAATTAAAGAATATCAATTATAAAGAATTAAGTAAAGAAATCAAATACAAAGAGTTTCATATAGGAGTTTATATTTTCGTTCAAAATTTGCAGATTTTGTTTTAAATTTTGTGCAAAATTTAATCGTGGAGTTATTAAAGACTCAATATGTTAACCCTTTAAATATGCTTGGAGCTAGACTGGTTATATACTCACATGTACACTATAATAACTATAAGGATATATATGCATGTAACTTTTTATCCTCTTATCCTCTCTATAATTATATTTAGTTATTATGCTACAAATAACTACTTAATATCCTCATATAGACGCCGAAACATTATTTGTTAACTTGAAAATAGAAAATCTATATTTATACCTGGATTAGTCAACAACACTCTTTCTTCATGGAGGATATCTTCTGATAATAATTGCCATGTTGATTTCCAAACATATTCTGGCCGAGACATCGAATTGGATAACAACAACATAGCAAATAATTGCCTAAGATATGATGGCATTCCCTAGTTACTTGCTTCCTTTATGGCATCCACATACTCTTTACAATCATCCAATAACCCAAGTGCATAACATGCATCTCTAAAAGTGAGATAGTTATGATTGTTGATTCTTTTAAGATCGTCATAGGATTTTGGACCTTTAATAACATTCAACAACAATCTGAGATAATATAATTCACCAGTTCCAGGCGGAACAAAGAAAATTCTTCCATTGGAAAATACAGAAGTTCTTCTTTTCTCCCATCTTTTCAATTGTTTCTTCCAAACAAACTTAAGAGGGAATTCTGCATAAGTCAATTCTCTTGCTTCTGGCAATGTTTTATTTGTCTCAAACCAGCTTAAAAGCATTGATTCCTTTACACTTGATCTATTTGCAACATCATCAATTGGATCATCATTAGAGAATATAACATTTTGTTCATTTGGAAGATAAAATGATAGTTTTTCTACAGGAGGTTCTCTATGGTGAATTGGAAATTTGAATATTCTCCAAGCAGCTTCACATGGTGATAAATCATATACATATTTATTTCATCAATATTTGATGAATCTTCTGTTAGAATATACTATAAGCCATGCGTATTGTTATAGTATTCTTTATGAACAATTATTTATTTACTTGTTTAAATTCAATAAAGTTTCATTTTAAATAGATCATGTGTTGGTTTGTGCGTCCATTGCTTACATAGTAGATGATTTAGTGTATAGAGTTTAGCTTATACACGGAAGATTAAATCATCGGTTCTTGTAAGACATAAAAGTTAATGTTCACAATCTAATGATGGAATTGGACAAATCATCGGAATGATTGTAGCACAAGATTAAATATAATTTATCTTGATTATGGGAATGGTTTAATTCCAACTTCTTGTGCTAGTACATTTTGTATGTATTGAACGGATCAAGTAGAGATGAGTATTTTATACTGACTTTATAAAATAATTTCTCTAGTCCATTTAATGTACTTATACTCTTAATCCTGATATAATTATTATTAGCTGTGTATGTCACTTGTTGTTTTGATTTATTAAAAGGCGAGATTCTTTCGCGAGTCAATAAGCCTGGTAAATTGGATAACAATGATATACATTGGCGAAGTAATAATTAGTTGATGGAATCCATGTCTCAATTTTGAGATTGATGATACTCCTTTATGAAAGCTTATAAGTTTTCATGTGTAAACCCGGCCGGTGGATTTTGTATCCGACACATGAAATAAGTTAAGTGTAAGTCTAAAGGAAGTAATCAATAAATTAAATAGTCAGTAATTTAATTTGATTGATTAGTATCTGAATCTCAACATGGGGAGTTAAATAAGGTTTATGGAAGAATTTCGAAATTGAACTAAGGAGTGCAATTACGAATTTTTAGTGGAATAATTC